CTCTCTCTCCCTCCCTCCCTCTCTCTCTCTCTACCTTGATAAGGGACGCTAGGTGTTGTTAATAAAACTGATGCATTAAATTCCTACAATAAAAACAATTAATTCATTATTTCTCTCACACGCCCACCTCCTCCAATCTCTGTATAAAGACGTCCATATGGAGGAGTCCCAGAAACCCCAGCCTCCATCCCTGCCCCAGGGCCACACTGGTATCACGCTGACTGGAGACACTGCTGTCATTCAATATGAGTCTCTCTATTGAGGCACGAAGCCCAGTGTATTCTGATTGATCCATTGGATATACACCAGCAAAAACCTACACCAATAAACACATATCATTACATAGTACTACATACAGTAGACAAAAGATAGGCCTGAGGATTTTATTCCCAGAATAAAAAAAGAATAATAGGTAGTCTAAAGAATAAAGAATAATTCTGGAATAGGGCAAAATTTGTAAAATTGTGCAATATAGGTGTGGCTGAATGCTTAATAAATCTTGTCTAACACCTTCAAAGATACCCATGAGTGTGCTTTACAAGACTCAATTGAGGCATCCTTATAATGTTACAGTATAATGAGCATTAAATGAGACAAATTTTGTATAGTTATTTTGTTTATTTTTATAATACTTGGGAATAATAATAGGAATAATAGGCAAATATATTGGGAATAAGGGAATAGAATAATGGGGACATTTTTGGGAATAACTACCTCAGCCCTAACTATAGAAATAGTACAATATGCAATTAATTTATCTTAAAAATTTCATGTCATTATTTGCAGTAATATGTTCATGTACATGTACATATGCTTGAATTTGATCTACATTTGTCTGTATAATACTTGCCATTGGTTTAGCTGGTTTAAGTCCCGGTAATGGTTCGACCTTTGAATAACATTTTGTGTGACATATTGTATCTCCAATTAATGCCTCCCTGCTATCTTTCATTCCTAGTATCACGTAACCCACCTGACCCGTTGATCTGGTTTAAATTAAAAAATTAAAAATAATAATAAACAATTGATTTTTAACAAGAAGACACATAAACTCACAAACTATTTTGAGGCACTTGCTGAGGTCTAAGCAAGCCAAGGTCAGCCACTTCATATTTCTTACTGCTATGAATAGAAGTCACCAGATCACCTAGTCACATGACAACAACCACAAAAAACCACACCCACTTACCACGACTAACCTTCCCATCTCGCACAGTCACTACACAAACCACGCCCCTGTATTTATCGTACCAGCTGTCAAAAAGGAGGAGTCTTAGAGGACTATCGGGTCGGCCTGCTGGAGGTGGTATATTACTAATGACAGTGTTTAGAAGATCAGGGACTCCAGTGCCAAGTTTAGCCGATATCTGGAGGAGGAGAAGTTGTATAAAAGTATTTTTAAAATTTATTTAATTTTCAATGGCTTTGTTTGCAATAGATAACAGTAACCTAGTGTTACATAATGCATTTATGCAAATATTGTATAACAGATAACCACTTCAATGAAACAGCGAATGCCCAACTTATAAAATAATAATAATAATATGGGTTGAATCAGTATTGCACATACATGTATATCATTACATACCAAACGAATTACGGGTACATGTACCTTGTGAATTTCATCTTCTTCAAATCCAAACCCGACACACATTTGACTGATGGTCTCAGGTACATCAGCATTATGAAGATCAATCTACCAAGTACATGCACATACATATACATGTACATGTACATGTTATATGGAAAGTTATGGTATACCTTATTAACAGCTGGTATAACAGTCAGTCCGGCATCAGCTGCTAATAAATAATTAGCGACAGTCTGTGCTTTCACGCCCTGGCAATTAAATTATATTCCAATTAAAGAGCACCGCATTGCCATTGCTACAAGTACCTGTCTTGCATCAACAAGAAGGATAACTCCATCACAGGCCGAGAGAGACCGTGATACTTCGTAGCTGAAATCAACATGTCCCTATAAACAGGACCACATCTCTCACTATTACACATTGTACATGTACATGTAGATGTACACGGTTCGTGGGTAAATTAAATGTGTATTCTGTCATTAATAAACTCTGCCATTTGTTAACTGTTCTACATACAGGCTCAATAATAAACCCAGCTGCTGCTCAACCGCCAAATATTGATAATTAATGAAATGACCCACCAATATATTTCGAGGCCTTGGCATCAGTATAACATGTACATGTACATGCACATGTCTGTATAAAGTACTTACTGGAGTATCAATGAGGTTGAGCATGTGATTAGAATACAGCATAGTAGCAGTCTGTGCTTTGACTGTGATACCACGCTCTCTTTCAACAGGGAGCCGGTCCAGGAGCTGCTTGTTATCAGGACTAGCTCTAACAGTGCCTGTGGACATATCACTTGTGCTAAATGTACCATTATGAATGTGCTTAATACAGATAAAGTAGGAAGTATATTGGTGGGAATAATAATTTGAAAATGTTAATTTAAAAGGTTTGTTTTTACATTGGGCCAATATTACGAATACATATTGATGTCTCTATGCTAAGTGAAAAGTTTGAGCTGTTTCCGGAAAATAACTTTCGAGTTATGAGCATTTAAAAAAGAGTCAATTTTTGAAAAAAAGCAAAGGCTATAGCCCATGTTTTTTTCCAAAAAATGGCTCTGAAACCATCCCCAATTTTTGTTACAATTTCTGATACATATTCATGTCCTTATGCTGTGTAGCAAGTTTGAGCTGATTCCGACTTCAATTTTTCAAGTTACAGCCATTTTAAGAAAACGTCAAAATTCTGAAAAATACCCAAGGCTATAGCCCATGGTTTTTTCCAAAAAATGGCTCCAAAATCACCCCAAACTTTTATTACATTTTCTGATACATATTGATGTCCTTATACTATGTAGAAAGTTTGAGCTGTTTCTGACAAATAATTTCCAAGTTATGGGAATTTTAAAACATACAAAATGGCTCTCATATTATATTATGGTTTATCTTCACAGAACTACCAATCGTCAAAACTAATACCCCACCAATACTTCACAGTATAATAGTATGTAGTGTACCGGTCAGCTCCAATAGACGATCTGCTAATGTGCTCTTTCCATGATCAACATGTGCTACTATACCAAAATTCCTAATATTATCTGTCCCTATCTCTCCTCCTACTCCTCCTCCTTTTTCACACTACAAAATAAAGTGCTCAGTAGTACAAACTGGTCAATTTCTCTCACTTGAAGAGCAATTGGAGCATCACTCAATAATCTAACGACTGAGGGAGAGAGAATGAAGCTTCTCTTTGGCACTACCCTCCACATGTTCTCACGTGACAAGGCACGTCCGCCATTTTAAGGCTGAATTCTTAAGAGGGTTAAATATTTGATGGGCGTGGTTTGGTTCTATTTGTATTTTTAACCCTTTGCTTCCTATATTTTATGTGCCAACCAAAACTGTCAAAACTACAAGAAGGTTGTAGACAATGTTTAGCAGACTGACTACATTTCTTGCTCAGGCAGCTGAAGTTACCACGCAAGTGGTAAGTGAAGAATTAAAAGAAAAAAGAAAATTGAACAATTTAAACATGTACATGTATATACATATACACGTATTTTACACAATAATTTCTACAGTTGGTGGGGCAACAGAAGAAAGAAGAGGAGTTCAGTGGACACTGGAAGACTATTACTGGATTGATATCGTCTGCTGGGGGTGAGTTCAAGTCTGGTTACCTTATAGCCCCAAAATTTGTCAGTCAAAAATTTAGTTGATTTTGTTTGCTATTTTGTTTAATTAATGTTTTAATATGTTCCTGCATTTTATAATCATAGTCAAATGATTAATAGTTTTTGATGGCAAATCGAAAATTTGGAACTATAATAAATGTCACTACATGTACATGTACATGTATGTATCTCATTAGAATCCGAGAGTGATTCATGTATAACTGAAATATCAACTCACCTTGAGAGAATGGCCGACCTCTTGTTCCAGGAGGAAGAGGAGGAGAAAACTGTTTCCATGGTAATCACACACTTAATTAATCATAAATATAATTATTTAATTAATAACGAATTATAATTTAAATTTTTAGGGCCCTTGCATGGAGTTCGTCATTCGTCATAAATTATTGGATACTCTGTGTGCAACTGCTAAGAGTGATGTTAGTACAATGGACCTACATTATTATCATAGCTTGTTTTATTTGTTTTTTCTTGCTAGTTTCCTGAAGGAATGAGAAAGAGTGTGTTTCACTTCTTGTCACTATTATTGGGTCGCATCCAGCAGCCACTGATCCCTCATATAACTGTACACAGACCACTTAATGTAAGCATCAGTACATGTACATTGTACAGTGTATTTCATCAAAAATTACTAGTAGAGAATTCTCCATTTAAGATTAACACTCCTGTATCTTCCAGACTAACTCCTCAGTATACACACTCACTTCCTTTGTATCATTAATATTTGAATCAGGGACTTATAGTCCCTTCCAAAAATTTGTCACGGTCTCAGGGATCAATCTTGTCTTGTAGCCAGTACTCGTAAAAGCTGTCTTTATAAACCTTCTCAACGTCATGATATCATCGTGGGGCGTACCATTACAAGAAATGAACATTATTTAACACATGTACTGACTCATGTACATGTACATGTATATGTACTTCCTATTTTGTCGCTCTATCACATTGGTAGTACATGTATGTAGTTTTATGAATTATAAGGTTTTACATGTTAAAAACCCTATAGCACTAGACTACTCTAGATATTACTATTTATTTTTTAGACATTGATCAAGACTTGTGGATTAAGTTATGTCAATCCATTGGCAGTGGTTGAGGTCCAGTTTTTGAGAACCCTCTGTCTGACTTTACGTAATGACGAAACACTATCAAACTTCTTTCTTGAGGTACATTGTACATTCTCCTTTTTTACTATTTTTTCTTTCTTCAGGAGAGCAGTGATAAAGGTACGACTAATTTTACTGTTGCAGAAGCTTTAATGAGAATATCAAACTGCGAGGTACCGTACATTGATCAAGAATCATCGAGTATTATCAGCTTCTCCTTCTCTCTCTCTTTTCTTATTTCAGGATAGTTTAGTTTGTTTGAAAGCATTCGAGTGTTTATTGGAGTGCGTACCCTTACAGACGGTCTCTCCCATCATGTGCCGGTCACAGTTTCCTTTGCTGCTTGCCTCAAAGATGAGGCAACACTTGCAGCTCCTACCATCTTCCCTTGACTATACTGACATACTCAACTGTAGAGGAGGCTGGGGGTAAGGTTTTGTACAATTTAATCCTTTGAATTTCAGAAATTAAATAAACAAATTACCATTGTCAATACTGCTGGATTTTAGAATAACTTTTAAAATTTATAACAAATCCAATTTTGATCAGAATCAGCTCAAAGACCTGAATGTACACATGTACATGTACTATAGTTTATGGTCTTAGAAAGAAACAAAATATAAATAATATATTTATTCCTTTTAGTGTGAATTATGCCAGCAGTTCTGCCATACATTGTCTCTCACCTTCTCCATCTCAGCCTCTCCTTCACCTTGAGGCTTACCTCTCATGGCTGGACTATTGTGAACAAGTGGTCACCTCTGCTGCAGAAGTAATACTTAATAATAATAATAATAATAATAATAAATGCATTATGCCATACAACTGTATTTGAGGTAAATTACAACTTATTTCTAGGACCTACAGGATTATATATGTGATTGCATCAGAGAGCAAGTACTTGAGTCTGTTGTATTACCAAAGCTCTTGACTTCCTCAGAGATAGATCTTGTAATGGGACTGTCTCTACTATCACTGAACCTTCTTGTCACATCGCACATAAAACTGACCATGAGTTAGTTAGAGGAGATTGTTTTGTTTAAATCTCTTCGTCATTCCTTGTAGCATTCATTCACTTCATTATGAATCACAGTTTAGACAAGTTGATATCTTCTTGTAATCATTTAAGTGAAGAGGTTTCCTGTTCCTCTTTCCTTCTTCTTGGGACATTGTTCCAGCGTCCAACTGGACTACCATATCACCTTCTCTCAACCAACCAGTCTCCCTCCACTCTGCTGAATAAAGAATACATCAGAAACACAGTATCAAGGTACATGTATGTCTACATGCATACAAAATTGAAGCAATTATTTTAATAATCTTATTTTTTATGTACATGTACATGTACCTTTAACTGTACATGTACATGTACATGTAAATATGCTTGTACATTATACATGTATCTCTAATTTCTTTCTTGTAGTTATTTGAGTATCGTTCCTTCTCACTTGTTAACTGCACAAGAGGTTACTGGTGACAGTGGCATCACTTATTATATGATTGAAGCACACCAACAGGTAATGAAATACATTACATTTACTTCCACCCTCTTTGCCACTCTCTCTCTCTCTCAGGTTTCCACATGTTATCAGCTAGTAAATGATTGGGAAGGTAAACCAGAATCTGTTCAAAACAATGAAGTAAAAGAAGACGAGATAGAAAGAGAAGAAGCAAAAGAGCATCCATTGATCACTGCTCTCTTGGACAGACTAGAAAGACTCTTGGATCAGGTAAAACCGGTTTTAAAACCCGTCAGACGTGTATGTATCTTTTGTAGACATACGAGTTAAACCTTCACCTAACTACAGTCATATCAATACTAGCTGCTTATCCTCAATTGGAGTCTTTATTTGTTACTACAGAGACAGGCTCTTCAGCTCATCGCAATGTATACACAGTCCTACAGAAAGTAAATGAGAATTATAAATATTTTTCTTTGTAATACCTAATTATACTTGACACGTTTTGGAAAAATTTAAACCTTTTCTTTCATGTCATGAACATACCCTTGTCATGTGATGCTTGAGTTTATGTAGCTATTGCACATTGTCACAGTAATCTTTAGTATGCTATGGACTGGACTTGGTTTAAATTATGGACTATGGTGTATTTCACTTGCCTCTGCAGGCAGTTGGACATCCCATTATCAAGTGTAAAATGGCCTTAAATACATGTAGATTAGATTTATGTTCATAATCACTTAGTACTGTGTGTGCATGCGGTGGTGTATGTACATGTATATTGTAAGTTTGTGTGTGCTTTATTTAGGTCAGCTCTCAGTTGCAGGATCATGCTGAGCGTAACCCAACCTTACAGCTCAATATTGTAGAGGCAAGACGAAGACTTGCTGGACAAGAAACATCAGATTTATTGAGGTACATGTACATGTACATGTACTGTAATACATGAACCACGGCTCACATAACATGGTGAACTGTAACCATTATGACATGTATACATGTAATTTATATCTATTAAAGTTAAATCATTACTATTATTATTATTATTATTATCCATCAGTATGCCTAACAATGAGCTATTGGAAGGTGCAGTGTTACTAGAAGAACTGTGTAAAGTTAGTTATAGATGTGTCTAGTTGTATGTCCTTTATTTCTTATTGTAGGAGATAGCTGCCAATCTTTACGTGAGGCACTCTACTTCACTCATCTCAGGGCAAGCAGTTTTATGAGATTTTTTCATTTTATGATCTTATTATTATTATTATTTTTGCATGTCACCTCGTCGCACACAAGAACTCACATTTGCTCTATTTTTGTAAACTCAAAGTTATAATAATTCGACTTAGTTTCTCCTCGCAAGATTTATTCTTAATTGCAAACAAAGAAATGACCTGTTCCATGATAATGCTATCCTATTAGAAAAAATGTTGAGTGTCATACTCTATAAAGACAAAGGTGCTAATTTGAAATTTGCACATGGTCTTTTATCTTTTAATCGAAAGTGAAGTTCTAAAAGACCATGCGGTTTTAAATCCTCGTATATTCACCAGGATTTCTTAGTTTTGCTGAGTGTTACTGGTTCTCTAGTTGTCCCGTGCTTCTTCTTCTTCCATCAGTAACTTACGAATATGTTAGAGCCTGAAGAAAAGTCGAATCTTACTCCTCTAAATGATCCTGTTGCAGCAGTAGGTGCAGTGCCAGCCAGCTCCACCCTGAATGTTACTCGCCCAGAGCTTGTCAATATCGTCAAAGAGGATACTTTGGAGTCTCAATATCTTCCATTTCCCTCTGGGATAAGCCAGGCAGTCAATACTACCATCACTGCTAACCAGCAGAGGCCCATTCCTAGTCTAACTCTCCCTAGGCCTGCAGCTTCTGTCCCTATACCCGCAGGACAGGTCATCAAGTATTGTCCAAAGCATCCAGCCATTTCAGTCACACTTGATGGCAAGGATTTGTGGGATGAATTCTATCGTGTGGGAACAGAGATGATTGTGAATCGTGCTGGAAGGTATGCCTGTACTACTGTTATTGTTTAATTTTTTAGTTTATGGCGGTTTTTCACTAAAATATTTTTACAACTTTTGATCAATGCTGTTACTGGCTTTGGTTTTTCATTTTTAACACATTTGTAATGGCTTTATATCTTGCAGAAAGTTTGTCATTAAAATCTTATAAGTTATACTCTTGTTCAAAAAAATTAGATATCCCATAATGTACCTTGCATGCATGTGCATGCACATGTCATTATTACTGAATTGCTGGTTCCTTTTTAGGAGGATGTTTCCTGGGTTTTCTGTGAATATTAGTGGCCTCAAGCCTAAATCAAAGTATGTTATGAAGTTGGAGATACTACTGGCTGATTCACACAGATTTAAGTTCATCAATTCAAGGTACTAGCATTATGTCACACTACTATAATTCTTTTACTATCTTCTCTCTCTCTCTCTTTCTCTCTCTCTCTCATATTTTAGATGGTTACCCATAGGTAGTGCTGAGCCACAGCCACAGTATGAAACTTATGTACACCCGGACTCACCTAATACTGGGACGTTTTGGACAAGACATGGAGTCTCTTTCAAAAAGCTTAAAATAACAAACAACAAGGACAGTCCCAATTCTAATGTAAGGATAACAGTTGTGTTCAACTACCATGTAGCTAAAAACTTTTGTAAATCTAGCAAAATTTGTTATTACAGATTTTATTATTTTTGCAAGCTCAGTTAGGATTAAATTTTTGCATTTCCTATGCCACAAATATTTCTAGCTACACTGTATGACTCTATTTTAATTTTAGGCTGTTCTTCACTCAATGCACAAATACTTCCTTCGTTTGTATATTGAGGAAGTTAAGAAGGTGTCACCTCCTGGAGGAACTGCAATTGAAAATGGAGAGAGAGAAGGAGGAGTGAACGGAGAAGACAAACGACATGGAGCTAGTCAGCAAATGGTGGCCAAGTCAATAATGTCTATAGAATTTCCAGAAACAACATTTGTAGCTGTCACTGCATATCAGAATGAAGAAGTAAGCCACTTGTAATGTAATTATGTACTCGCCATATTATTTTTTTGCCTTCAGGTCACGCAACTCAAGATCACCAATAACCCATTTGCAAAGGCATTCCGGGATAATTCCTTAGACTTGTAAGTCATTAATGTATTGTACTACAGGGTCTTTTTTGATGGAGTTTTCAGCAACGTTAAAAATTGCCTATTCTTTATAAAAATTTTTATGACTTCAATTTTTGGGAAAAAACATGAACTGTAAAGGTTATACCATGGGCTATAGCCTTTACTTTTTTCAAAAAATTGGCTGATGTTCTTAAAATGGTCATAACTTGAAAAATTAAAGTTGGAATCAGCTCAAACTTTTTCCACAGCATAAGTACATCAATATGTATCAGAAGATGTAATAAAAATTTGGGGTGATTTCGGAGCCATTTTGTCTGTATAAAAAACCATGGGCTATAGCCTTGGGTAGTTTTCAGAATTTTGGCATTTTCTTTAAATGGCCGTAACTTTATAAATTTAAGTCGGAATCAGCTGAAACTTGCTACACAGCATAAGGACATTAATATGTATCAGAAAATGTAATAAAAGTTTGGGGTGATTTTGGAGCCATTTTTTTAAACCATGGGCTATAGCCTTGGGTGTTCTTCAGAATTTTGAAGTTTTCTTAAAATGGCTATAACTTGAAAAATTGAAGTTGGAATCAGCTGAAACTTGCTACACAGCATAAGGACATTAATATGTATCAGAAAATGTAATAAAAATTTGGGATGATTTTGGAGCCATTTTTTGGAAAAAACCATGGGTATTTTTTAGAATTTTGGCATTTTCTTAAAATGACCATAACTTGAAAAAATTGAAGTCGGAATCAGCTCAAACTTGCTACACAGCATAAGTACATCAATATGTATCAAAAAATATAATAAAATCTTGGGATAAATTTGAAGCCATTTTTTGGAAAAAAAATCATGGGCTATAGTAAAGGGATTTTTCAGAATTTTGATGTTTTTTAAATGGCCGTAACTTGAAAATTTAAAGTCGGAATCAGCTCAAACTTACTACACTGCATAAGGACATCAATATGTACTGTATATCAGGAAATGTAATAAAAATATGGGATGATTTCAGAGCCATTTTTTGGAAAAACCATATGCTAGAGTACATGGACTTTGGTTCAATTTTCGAAGAGCTTTAAAAAACCAATTTTATTTGGAATCAACCCAAAGTTTTATGCAGCATGTACATGTTTATGTATCAAAAATGGAAAATTCTCTCGTTGTAATATTGGCAAAATTTTGGCCAAAATATCTGTACTATGACAGGATTTATTCCCCTCTCTTTCTTTAGGGAATGGGATTCTACTCAAGCACTCTATGCTGGTAACAACTCTTCAAGCTATTTTAGTCCTGCTACCGTAACACAACCAGGTAATGTCACTAAGTGCTAGAACATAAATGATTGTTATTTTTAACAACCATGTGACATCTATAGACAACCTTTAATGTAAACACTCTTCATTTTCCCTCACTGCATATCCTATTCTGCTTGACTGGGCACACACCTTCTTTACCTGCCACCAAATGTTAGTTGTTTATGAATTTGTCTTCTCCCAAAATTTAATGCTCATGAAGTCATTGTTTTAATTACCCGTGGCTAATACACTATGCTCTTATACTACCAAAAATGCTTATAATGCATGCATGACATGTCCATTATGACTTCACCACATTTCTATGCCTTTAATATCATTACGTATCATTTTTATTTTCATTTCCAGGTAGCTGTAGTTACGTCATGTCACCTTCGCCCTCGCCATGGGCCATTCACTCACCAGCACTGATGTCTCCATATTCAATCCCTCCTTCATTTTATTCCATTTCTCCTCAGTCAATGGCAGGGACCATGACTCACTTTAATCATTCTCTTCCGCCTACTCCTCAAGGAGATGTTAGCGTTTTCCAATGGCCACAGCACAATGGGAGTGATCTGCTTCATTCGCCTGCTGCTATTCTTCCTCCTCCGGCTCCAATCCTCTCAAATTATTATAATCATCTCACCCCAACACTAGGCCATCATCCACCTTCCGCTATTGATGAAACTTCTCAATCATGCAGTGATATTCCAGCTACTCCACTCCAGGACTTTGGCAATGCCTACTATACTCAATCTTAAAAAACTTATTTTCATAATGAATAAATCAAATGGTCATATAGGTCAAATTACACATGATGATTTAGTAATGATGCAGTTGTATTAATTATTATTGTTTATTGTTCTCCTTTCCATTCTGGGCATAATTTAATAGTTGCATGATGTAAAACAAGTGATTATGATCTGTCAGAAGGAGTGGGTGACACACAGCTCTATCGGGGTTGAAAAAAGGCTCAATGCGTGGGCTTGCCTAATTGGCTTCTGTTAATATGCAGATATGGTTGGATCTAATTGGATTATGACAACTGTGGCTCTGCCTTCTTCCTTACTAGTACATGTTGTGGTAAAAAGGGGCTTCTCTTACTCCACCGACGCCTTTTGCTAGACTGATTGTCGAAGGGAATGAAAACATCCCGTCAGAGGCTAACCACTAACGCCCACGTATTCTGTGCTCCAGTCTTGTAAAGTGGGGTATAAAACCAAGCCTGCCTAAAGCAATCTCTTGTTATAGTGAAGTCAACGAAGGCCTTGCAGGTTGCCTCATCACACTAGCTCCACAGAGAGAAGCCTGGATAATAGTATTGAGCTTTTTAGCAGTGACAGCAGCAGGAGGTCAATGGCGGCCGTACAGGTTTGCATGCAGCAACAGCAACAGGAGAACCCTTTCACAAACATCTCTCGTACTACTGCCTGCGTTAACTGGAACTACCAGGGATCCATGAATCCTTCTCCTACAGGTCTACCGATTAGCAGTGGCAATAGCAACCTGCCTTACATAGCTCAGCAGCACAACATACAGTACAGTGTCACTACATACAAGCCGCAGCAGTATTACGAGTATGAATGCAACACACCTCCAGTCGGTGAGGGACCACCAGTCACCAGTTTCTGCAGTCCAGACTACACCAAGAGCCGCCCTCTCTCCCACTACACTTCCACTAATTCCCTCCACGGTGCAGAAATGGGTGTATTGACTGCTGCGAATACAACAGCATCGCAGGCAGCTCTCCCTCCAACTGAATGGTTCACTGGAGGCACGTCCGTGGCCTCTCGTTTCTCTCCGTTGAATACTCCCCGTTTCCCCCCGCATACTGCCGCACTCGTTTCACAGCCATTTATCAGCCAACCCACGGTTCTTCCCACCTGGCCTATGGAAACCGCCGCTAGCCCGAACACCAGCACCTCCAACAGTCTCCTACCACCACCAGCGCAGCCAAACGACCCACTACAAGTAATCTCTGAGACAGAGTCGCCCTCATCACAGGCAATCGTTTCTTCAATATGTTCAGCAGGCTCGAGCGCCAATGAACTGCCCACGCTTCCTTACATCCCGTCATTGGACCCACAGAACCATGTAGCCACCTCCTCCTTCTCCCCTCTCTCAATGCCACACCCATCCTCACAAGGAACTGGGATATCATCACTCACGGCTTCGTTAAATATCCTTCATTCCATTGGACAAGGGCTGCCAGCCGCGAGGACTAACAGAAAACCCAGGCGACAGAACCCGGCTAACAGCAACAGCCCTAGAAAACCCAAACCAGAGAAGAAGTCGCCAACCGAGAAACCTCACGTTTGCCCGGTTGACAACTGCGGGAAAAGGTTTTCACGCTCTGATGAACTAACGCGTCACCTTCGCATTCACACGGGACAAAAGCCGTTCCAATGTCACATATGTCTTCGGTGCTTCTCTCGCTCGGATCACCTCACGACGCACATAAGGACTCATACCGGGGAGAAACCCTTTGCCTGTGATGTGTGTGGGCGTAGGTTTGCAAGATCCGACGAGAGAAAGAGACACAAGAAAGTACACGACAAAGAAATGGTCCACCAAGTGAACAGAAACTTACAAAGTTCAGAGCCGAATCCTCAAGTGGCCACGTCTCCAAAGGAGCAGCCGAATGACGACAGCGGACTAGCCTCGATTCACGTTAGCTATCAAACTCCACCCACTTCTAATCCAGGTGGATTAGTAGCAACTTCCACTGCGAGTGTAGAAGAAATTAAACTAGAGCCTCTGTCTCTCCCGTCAACCCAACAAGGACAGCAAGAGGGAGCTGCCATGTTATTGCAACAAGAGGGACTAGTTCTACCATCGGATCAACAGGAAAGCTTATTGATATCCTCCGTCCAGCAAGGAGGACTCCTAATACAACAGGAAGGTTTAATCATGTCCCAGCCTGATAGCCTTGTTACTACTCTACAGCAGGAGGCTCTGCCACAGCAGCAGCAACAAGGTCTAACTCAGACGACGACATCCCCTTGACTTTAACGTGGTATTTATAATTAATCTTACTAGCTTTAAAGTGACTATGACTCTGCACTACTACTAAATAAATAAATTTTTTCATTTTCTTTTCTTTACTTTGGTACATATCTTTGTACATCTTTTCCCTTCACTCTCTCACATTATCAGTTTTTTCTTCATTAAGTAACACATACCCCCCAACACAATTCCACACACACACAGTCACAAACATTTTCTTTTTCCTCTTGTTCACCATTATTCAAATCATCCACTCTCTTTTTTCTCTCCCTCTTCCCCCCCCCCCTCTCTCTCTGTTCACATGGTTTTTTGTAAATAAAGATAAAATAAACAATAATAATAATTATATAGTTTTTGTTGTTAAAAATAATAATTATCAAAAAACACCTTCAAGATTGTTGATACAGTAAAAGTGATGTTTTTCTTTGCTAATGAGCGAAGAGTTATTATTTCACATAAAAATAACAAAAAAGATTTCATTGAAAGGTCAAAAAATAAAAGCAGTCAGCGAGCTTCATGTATACACGGCATCCATCAAGTCTCTCCTACTATAGAGAGAGACTTTATTTGTGAGAAAATATCGTCTAAAGTGGGACAGTTGTCATTTTTGTCTCCTTTTCCGTCTTCTGCCTTTTCTGGAGTTGCCAACTGTGATTTTATGCTTTCGAGACAATCTCTTAGAGTATTGGCACAGTTTTGATGATATAGTAACTGGAAGGGAAAGGGAAAGGCAGAAAGAGGGGGAGGGAGAAGAGAGAGAGCATGTAAACAGCATCACATACAGTGGGAGTACAGGAAGAAGAATTAGGAAAGAAAAGATTTGAGGGGATGTATACAGTTGTAAGCCATAAACAAAGCCGTAAACAAAGCAAGAATTAGGCTATATACTATTGAATTACAATAAATACATGCAAAAGGGAATAGACAAGAAAAAAGGGTACAAAGACAGGAAGATACATAGACGGATTATAATGACAATGAAGCCACTTCCAGTATAACTAAGAAACAGGCACATGAGCTCACCTCTGAAGACATCATTGCTTTAAGACAAGGATCAAATACATCAACTCTCTTTTCATGCAGTTGTGGTAGCTCTGTCATTAGTTGACTGTTAATCTTCTCAAATTCTGATTTTGCCGACGATAATTTGCGTTGTGTCTATAAAAATGATACTAAAGGTTACCTTTAGATTAATAGAGCATTTTATTAGGATATAATCATACTACATGTGACATATGAAGCATTACATGTACATGTAAATACACATGAACTTCATTATTGCGTAACTGCTACATGCACAGTATCATGTACATACATGTACATGTATTACACACAGGTCACAATGATGCAAAGAAAAACTAACTTACCAGCTCCAGTTTAGCAGACTGTGATGCCTGTCTTTTCTCTAGTTTACCTTGCTGTCTCTCTAGCTCCTACAAATGAAAATAAAAGTAAAACTATACATACATGTAACATTCACAAAAGAAATGAATCTCTTCTTCTCTCACTAAAGTACAAGTAAACTAAACTGTACCTGTAGCCTAGCGTCCCTTTGCTTTATATGTACATCAATATGCTTATAAACATTATGGAATCTACAAATGATAATAATAATACACATGTACATTAATACTGAAACATGTGATAAGTAAATCATTACGGTTTGTGGTTGAAATATAATTCATTATTACTATAATGCTATAGTGCATTTACATGCAGTTAGAGTACCTTTTAATAGGGTCAGAGAATACTATCTCTTGTCTTGATTTATGTTCTTTGCTGTGTGACTGTAGCTCATCAAAACAGCTCCCAGCACTATCCACCTACCAGATAAAGACACAGGTATCAAAACAGGATGAGAGATAAGGCTTCTGGTAGAGTTCTCATAATTCATAGTAAAGAAAAAAGCCAGTTTGTGTAGGCACAGGATGTACAAAGTGGCTTCAAGTCTGCCCACTTATTCTAGACTTTTCTATAATGAGCTACAGTTAGAAAGGAAACTGAAGGAGAAGATTTGGTCTGGGGTGATTTCCAGATAACCACTTGGCCTTACAACTAAATGACAGCATTGCACGATGCTACAAATACCCGGACAGTGTATATACACAAACAAAATAATTCAATTAATTACAACTAGGTCTTTGGAGAGAGAGAGAGGGGGGGGGAGAGCAGAAGAGAGAGAGGGAGATTATGAAAAAGTATAGCACTGGCTTAATATTTATGTAATAGACTAAAAGGAATTAAGCTATGCAGTCTAAAATGAATAGTTAGAATTTTGTTTACATTATACTTACAATAGATTTGAGTGGCTCTGTTTTTGAAGAGGGCGAAGAATGAAGGTCACTGAATATCTTAGCATTTGCACGTGCTTGAGCTACACAAAAACAAAATGAAATACAAAAGGGAACATTAAAGTGTATGTATACAATAAGAGGAAGGAAAAAGAGTGAGGGGGAGAGAAAGAGAGTTCAGGATTGTGAAATCACTAATGATCGGTCAATGACATTAAGGCACACGTGAGTGGTTCTACTACAACCAAATAAGGGCATAACAAACTGAAGTTTAGTCAAAGACAACCAACGTTCAGAAGTCTCTTTAGTGCATCAGTACGATGACATCAGTCCATATAAATACACTTTAATCATTTCTTAATATAGCATGAAACCATACCCGTATTATAGTAAGAGTACAATGGTGCCACTTGGGTTAAACCTTATGCATAAGGACAGTACAATAGTAAATATATGAGTACAAGTCTGTGTGTGTATATATTTACTTATATAGTGTGATTAGTAATAAGCTTTTGACTATATAGGTTTCTCCATCCCTTTTTATCTCTCTCCCTCCCTCTCTTTCTCTCTCCCTCCCTCTCTAAAATTTCTCTCTCCCTCCCTCTCTTTCTCTCTCTTTTGTTCTCTCCCTCTCTTCCTCTCTCTTTCTTGTTTCTCTTTCCCTCTCTTTCTTTCTCCCAAATTAAGCGTGTCTGTGTTTAAATGACCAAAATATAAAGCATTAATAACATTAGAGTCACATACCACCATAACCCAATGCTCGAGCTCTAACTTGTAATGCAATAATGAACTGATTCGCTTTTAATCGAGTCTGTGACATATAATATTTCATTGTGTGTCAGGATAATGTCATTATGAACTTTAATATCAAGCACGTGGTGTGTCTGGATCAGAGAAACTGAATACATTGGCTATATGTACTTGTTACCAAACTAAGCACAAACATAAGGATTATTATCAAAGTACGTGTGTAGCTCTCGCTCTTCCACAAAGCAGCATCAGCTTTGCATTACGAGGCATAAATGAGCCAAACTTCTCATACGCTACTAGACTGGGACAAATCAGGAAGTGAACCTAACCTTTAATGAGTTGTGTTCTGGTTGGTTATATTAGCTACGGTTGACTTCAATCTTAGTTTGGTAAGTGGGTAAACTTTCAATTAAAACTTATACTGATTGGACTATTGCTATAAGGCTTTGAGTGCTGCTGTATGATCCAAGATGGAGTTGAGACAAACTACCTTATAAACTTAAGCACATATTGCAAGGAGATACACTGTACATGTACTTCTCTTCAGAAAAAGTAAGTTTATTGTATAGACAATTTTATGGTTGAGGAAATCAAGCTAAGTGGGCAGGAAGAGTGATTTGCAGTTGACTGGAGGCATTCAATGTCAAGGTTACTAATGACAAAACTTTATTGATACGTTTTAACTGAAAGATAGACAATACAGAGATAAAAGAAGGAGAGAAAAGAAAAAGAGAGCGAGAGAGGGGAAAGAAGGCAAAAATGGTGAAGGAGAAACGGAATCCAAAAAAGAGAACAAAGATTATTAAAAAAGAGAGAGAAAGAACAGAGTCAAAAAAGCCCCAGAGACAAAGAAAGGCGGAATGGAATTTTAAATATAAAATGACATCACAGTGTAGATTAGTAAATATTCACAGGATCGTATGACTTATGCAATATAGCTTAGTGAGCTTACCTGATTCAGATTCCAGACATTTTGTCATTCCTTTGTACAGCCTCTTAGATGCCGACTGCATACTACAAGTACATTTTAGTTAAACACTCGCATTAAACTAAAGTATACATTATATCATCTACTTGTACATGCACATCGCCCAGGATGACAATCTTGTTATAGCATGACCACAAATTAGTTATGATTTCATCCATAGCAACCAATTGATGTAATCACAACAGTTCAAATAAATGTACATGTACATGTACATTGTATATGTACATGTACATGTACCAAAAAGCTCTATCTTACATATAGCTATAGGTGCATTAAATATTTGTCAATATAAATGTGATGCATAGAACATAATTATAAGAGTAATTATAAAAAGAGGATCATTACTATATACATGTACATATTATACATACATAACTTCATATAGTAATTGTACTACGTTTTAATCATATAAGGTATACTTACTGGTGAAGCTTTTGGACTTCTGCCTCAAATTGTACATCTTCCTATACACAAAATGAAACCACATACAACAAATGAAATATAATAATAATAATAATAAAGATCAAAAATACCCTACCTACCTAGCACACGTACATGTACATGTACATATGCATTATAGTACGTGTGTATGAAGTTGCACAATATCTAGGATTGTTTTCAGATCATATGATGATAGTTATTAAATAGATGCTGCTAAAGTGAAGCTTGTGGTTGAAATCAATGCAAAGCCAGTATCAAGATCAGCACTGATAACTTTTAAAAATATGTGATGTAAAATGTACACCTCACTATAGCAGAGTAATAATTTACTCTTGATTATAGGAATTTAAAGATTAAATTCTCTACATAGTAATAGGCCTAGTGTGCATGTACATGGCTGATTCAAACATTAAAAATGATAAAGAATAATGAAACTAGAATATTAAATATGAAATACCACATCAATAAATTCAATACGCATTGTAGATACAGCCATACAAGTCGTGGTCATCTAATAGCTCTTTCAATTGAGCTCATTGTGCTACAGTCCTAGCATAATAAGATGCAAACTAACAAAGGTCTCATTATGTCTAGAGGGCCAAGACTCAACAGGAAACTGCCAGAATGTCCGAATAATCAAGAACCCTAGCGTCACTCAGGTCTTTTGTCACGACACTATGACAACCAAGTGTCTTCTTGAATGACTGAAATGATTGAAATGAGCTATGTTGGCTCCGTGTCAAATATTAGAGGCTTTCTGTGACATGGTTACATAATATTAAAACTCTTGAGAAAACCTAAACAATGTACAATAGATCCAAGGAGAGTGCTGTATATTGCAATGGACGCTCTCTATAGCATACACCTCCATTTAACGGACAGCACCTAGTGTACCAATTAGATTCCTTACTGTATAAAATAACCTCCACATAAAGGACACCTCTGTATAACAGACAAAATTTCTTGTCCTTTAGTGTCCGTTATATAAAGGCAAGTGACTACACTATGATAAGAGTACTCTTGACTGTAATTATTATTATAATAGTTTTAATTATTATAATAATTATTATTGTACGTGTATATATTACAGAGCATTTGGTTACTTGAAAAAACATGAAATGAATAACAATTGCTCCACTTGATTGCATTTTAAACAAACAACTTAAGTATCAGAGATCATAGAGGGCACATCCCAAATCATGGTCAAAAGGTTAAAAAAACAAACAACATTCAACAGTGAAACAAGTATGAAGGTTATGACAACAATACTCATGGTTCCGACTTAAAACCTTACCCAGAATATACAAACTATTACAAGAGATAATTTCCTCCCACTAAAATAAAATAAATAAACTACCGGTATGAGCTGACCTGTTTTGTTTTCCGACTTGAGAAAGCCTGCAAGCAAATGAATAGATAATGGAAATCATAATAGTTTAGCATGTAATTGTTCTAATTAACTAACGAGCCGGTTGTACATACTTTCTTAAATGGATTCCTATGAAAAATAAATAAATAAATAATCATTAAAATTTTTTATGATAAGACTTCCCTCAATTAACATACCTAATCATTGCACCAGTTGCTGGTATTTCTAGTATGATGCGCTTACTAACTGAAAAAGAAAAAAAATTGCGGGACATGAATGCATAAAGAGCTCACAAGTTAAATGCTCTCTATCGTTGACACTATGTCCTTGACATTTTATCACCTACTGCCGATTCAGCCATTGTACTGGGTGGGTTTGTTTACAGTGATGCAACGTCATAATTAGTCATCACGAGTCATACTCATTCTCTCACGTGATCCAGCCAGCCACACACGTGGTCATTATTACAGGCAAGGAGAACGACTGGTTTATGCTCGTTCTTTTATTGAAAGTAACCTACAATAGGGAAGTCTATTAAAGATGGAGCTTTTAGAGGAAGAAGAAAGATCTACAATCTCACAGGTAAGCTCTAATTTAAGTTCCTAAATCCTGATATACGGGGAGAAACTCCCGCCACGTGTTTGTGTTGTCTAGATAGTGTCCCGCCTACGCTCTAGAATAAACCTCTGATAGGATCTAGTGTGTATTTAATTGTGTCTTGTTTAGTTTGTGCTCGTAAAATAAAGCATCTTAGTCTGCTCTCTTTGTACCCACTTGCGTTAGTAGGCGTAATTACACAATAAATGTACCTGTAAAGAATCCCTGTACATGTTTTTTATTATCATTAAAGTGTGTATGACATACCTATGTGTGTTTGTATGGATGCATCAAAATTTGAGCCCACAAGAATTAATTTATACCATTTACACCTTTAATTATGTATGCATGTACATACATGTATATGTATGTGTACATATGTACTTAGTGTGTGTACATTATGTCACTTGGAAAAGTTTTGTAAATTGTTATTTCTCTACTTGATTATATTTCTTAACATAACATTATTTTGCTTTATTTCTGTTTACTTTGACGTGTTTTTGTTTAGCCATTGTTTATTTTATATTCCATTACGGATATTTATTTTTATGAACACCAACTTTATTATTATTGTAATTATTATTATTATTATTATTATTATTTGTTGTGATTAGGTACTCCTTGGAAAGAGAATGTCGCTTGTCATAAAGAAAGTTGACATTAAAGATTTCATTAATAATAGGTGAGTATACTTAAGTTGCTGTTATATTCTAATTATTAATGTTGTGTTATATACATGTACACGTACATGTGGTAAGTACACAGGGTTTCCATAAAGCATGCTAAGTGAACTAAGCAGCATGAGCTTCATGAGCTGACAAGTACCGTATACTGGGAAATTTTCGAGTAGCCAAATTTTCGCGAATTTCACGTTTTTTGCTCTGTCGCGAAAATAAAAATCGCGAAATTCTAAATTTCTATTGCCACGTGGTGGAGTTTACAGGCTATTCGCGAAAATATTATTTTGTGAAATCTTACAAATGCAAAATTCGCGAAAATTTAGTGACGCGAAAATATCCCAGTATACGGTACTAAACTCATACATGTACATTGTACATGTATGTATACATGGCTTTTGGAGCAACTTTAAAAATTTATAAAAAATTCAATTGTGACCAGAATCAGCTCAAACTTTCTACACAATATAAGAACATGTATATGTATCAGAAAAAGTTATAAAAGTGGTGAATTCTCTCTTTGTCATTTTTGATGAGATTTGGCTGATGACCCTGTACTATAGTACAGGGACTTTGGCCCAATTTTGTAATAATTGTAAAAAATTGATTTTGACCGAAATCAGCTCAAACTTTCTATGCAACAAAAGAACATGTTTATGTATCAGAAAATGTAATATAAATAAAGAATTCTCTCCTAGCAATTTTTTGATAAAAAATGCACCTCATAGTACAGAACTAACTGTATGACATATCAATATAGAATCTTTGTATTTAGTTAAATGTATTTTCTCTCTTTCTCTAGTCCTGATGACGAGTTTATAATCTCTTATCCAATATCAATGTGTCACATTTATGGTAGCTCTACCAGTAGATCCGGTCGTAGGATTAAACCAAACACTTTATACGATGATATGTACATGTTCAACTATCTACCGCTTAACCGAAACTCAAATAACTCCTCTATGCAGTGTACTCCTACCAGGGCACTTAAGAAGCTACCGAAAGCCTTGAGCAAAGCGAAAGTCTCCATTAAGAAGGAGACTCCTCTTATTAATAGTCCATTGAAAGACCCAGGCAGTGTTTTGACCAATCTCTCGGTTAACATGTGCAATGAACCGTTTAATGAAAGCAGCCTCGAGCAGTCGATTTTTGATTCGACTTTTTCTACGCCAGTTTTTTCAAGCGGAAAGAAGAAGACCAGCAAGAAGGAAAAGAAGACTAACAAGACTCCCGCATCTACTAAGAAAAGGAGAGTCTTGAGAGACTCGTCTCCTGGTGGATTATTAGAAGATAGAGAGAGTGCTTCTGAGTCTATTGATCAGGAATTGTCCACTAGGAAAGGCTACAAAAGGAGAAGAATTGATGATGAAGATGAGGTATGTGACGTGTGTGTGTGTGTGTATTTTAAATATTGGGTGGGTGGGTGGGTTGATAATTAGCGATTTGTTTGTAAATACTTCATATAATAGCGGCTGTCATTATTGCGTTAATGTATCCTGTATCATGCACTCTTAATTACATATGTCTCTAATGTTTATTTTTCTTGAGTGGTACATTGTATATGCACACTTCTTCTTGTTGATGTTTTGTATAGTGTCTCATCACTCCATTCCAGTATGGTTTCTGTCTTAGAAACGGAAATAAACACAACTGAGTGTGCAGGGAGTCAGACTGGGTGTCCCTCTCTGAATATTCCCCTTTTGAATTTTAAAGTAGCCCCTTTGAATTTTGAAGTGTTTCATTACTCTCCCTGTAGTAACTAATCAAATTTAATTTATTATTTATTTATTTATTATTTGTGTGATTTAGGATAGTATTTGCGATGATGAAAGCAACTCCAATGCATTGGCAAGACTGAGGGAACAGCTCCACCTAACCACACCAGGTACCTTATAATTATTATTACCAGCCCTATGTACATGTACATGTAAATTATAATCGTTATTAGCAGTTTATAAGAGAAGTTCTAGCCTCTTATATGTTACACGTACCTTTTTTCAAGCCATAATTACATGTATATCAATCTCAATAAACTTGTAATTTTGAGCTGTATTGGTTTCGACAGCATTAAAACCAATTTCATAGCACAAAGATTACTTATTAACATTTATTATTATTGATAGTACACATTTCAGTTCTCACCAAATGGAAGTCCATTCTTTCACATAATTGTGCAACGTACGCATGTACATGTACATGTATGTACATGTACATGTATGTACATGTAATATCATTGAAATACATGCACACCAACTATTTCCATATAGGCCATGTTATTTATTTATTTGTTTGTTTATTTAGAGTGTACCACCACGACTGTCGTTGTTTATGCCGACACTAACAACATTGCTTGTACCAGATCCATCGAGGTCGAGAGCTGTCAAGTCTCACCTGCAGCTGTAGCAGTGACAGACGAAGAAGAGACAGCAGAGAATATAAAGAATGACAGTATCGAGGCTGAGATAGATCAGTTACTTGACACTGATCTTGTTCTTAATGAGGACGAGCTGCTCTTTTCACACGAAATTGATCTTTTAGCTGACACCACCCCAATAAAGGACACACCCTCTCTCGATAATGTTGCAATGGAAGCGACGACATTTGGCACTCAAGACGTGTTGGCAGACGCTCTTTCGATTGGAATGAAAAGTGAATCTCTTTCGAGTGACATAGACCTCCTAATGAGTTGCTATGCTGGTAAAGATGGGAAGGATTGTACTGTTAGCGTGTTACAAGAGGGGCGTGTGATGAAACCTGTCACAGATTCTAAAGGTACCTGTAATTGTAAACCTATTGTTGGTCAGTATTTATTTCCCGGTGAGTATTTATTCTTTCACGATTAATTAAAACTTATAGTTATTTATTTATTCAATCTCTTTATTATTATTATTATTTTTATTTATAAATGTTTTAAGTGAAATGTAGGGAAATGGTTCATTATCAGCCCTCTTTTGTGGTCCTTTTGGCAGTATACACTTGCTCTCTATTGTTAATGCGTTAGTATCAAGTGCTGGGTGATATCACAGACCACATTCTATTCAACAGATAAAATATTGAATATAAGGAAACACCACTAACAATAGATGACCTGTCCTCACTACCTGCTTGTCAACTTAACTTCTTTGTGGTTTCGGCTGTTTGCCGATAATAATTAAGTGCCTTTTGTACTCCCGGCAAGTAGCAGGTGTTACATTCATTTATAGTTCTAAAAATGATTTTTGGGAGGTCTACGTCACGTAGTGAGTATTTTTGGTGTATGTCACATTTTTATTTGTTACTGTTTTGGCTGGAGTCACTATAATAGCCATTATATCATTGTTCCACTTCATTCATATTTAAAGTACAGCATTACCTTATGATCAACATGATATACACGTGCCAGGCCTGAGGTAATAGTAATATGTAATAGTAATTGTAATAGTAACGATTACAGGGTACCAAGTAATAGAGGATATGCGTGCTAAGTATATTCATAACTTTTAAGTACCGTATATCCAACCCACACAGTAAATTGGCTGCCATGTTGGACGTCAAGTTTATTAAGAGTTCAATGGGGGAAAACACATTTTCTTGCCTTGCTACCTTCTTGAGGCCTTTTTCGGAAGCTTAGAAAGCATCTTGAAGATCTAATGGGGTCTAGTAGTCACCTGAAAGATTGCTATCAAGAAATACAAAGCGGTTTCCTGGTACCAAGCCTTTTTCTATCATTTCTCCATTGCTGCCAATGGAAAACTGACATCCAACGAATTAATTTTTTTTCTTGAAAGTTATTACGGTATGCAATGAATGCATTTATTTTGCAATGAATATACTTAGCACGCATATCCTCTATAGTAATAGTAATAGATTACATTTATTTGTAATTGACCCCAGGCCTGACATGTGCATGTATCAAAGTTTCTGTTAAGTGAGTGAATTAGGAAGAGATATTGGCCACTTAGTTTCACCTACCCTTCTACTTACACCCCCCCTCCTTTTCTTAAAAAAAGTATTATATTTGTCTCTCCTCTTCTCCCAAAATTTTGAAAGAATGCAGTACCTCTATGGTGTCTCTAAAATATATTATTATTTTGAGGGGGATTCACTCAATTATTTTTAAAGTCTTACTTTAACCCTTTGTTAGCTCGCAGTTCATGTAGACTGTCACATTGCATTGGTGTGATGGTGGGTTGCTCTACTGTGTATTGACAGAGGAATATCAAATATTAGTTAATGGGAATTTTGTTTTGTCTCTCACAGCAAATTAATGGAGAGAGAATAAATGCACTATTAATACATCATTATCATTGTTATATTTAGAAATAAACTAAAAATGGGAGACTAAAAAATGGAGACCTACGTAGACCAAATATGAGAGACCAAAAGTCTCCTAAACTCACTCTAGATCTAACTGTTATTATTATTATTATTATTAATATTTGTTTATTTATTTGTTTATTTGTTTATATATTATATATACATTTGATTCACTTCCTCCTATTAATGCGATTGATTTCAGTGTGTATTTCATTATGCTGTACCTCATTCTCTTCCTTATTCAATCAGTTCTCCTTGTAAGGATAGCCTGACACTTATTAATTAATGGGGATTGTTTCCTGTGGGACTATGAGAATGCATGTGCAATGTGCATCTAGTATACTGTACATTGTGTATGTTAATACTTAATTTATTTCAATTCTGATACCACATCTATATTCATTGAACAATGTGCATGGTCGCTTTTACATATATGTTATCAATTTTATACATTCGCTAGCTTCTCTCTCTCTCCCTCTCCTTCAAAATTGCCAGCTATGCACGTGCTATATATTAAGATGTAAATTTTCCCTTTACAGGTTTGAATAGTGAGGACAGTCTCATCTTTTCTCCTATGGTCTCTAATGATAAAAGATCAAAAATGTCAGAGTCTGCCCTCACTGATTTGTCTATAGCTACTTCTCCTCCTCCTTCTTCCCTACCTCAGACTCCGCCCTTTACTCCTCTCACTCTTAACCCTCTTCCTTTTTCTTCTTTTCTTGCGAGTGAGCCTGGTAAACCTACTCGAAGGAGACTTACCAGATCCTCCTCGAGAACAATTAAATCTACAGCTTCTTCTCCGAAGACAAAGAGACAAGATGTCTTGTCCTTTACTTGTCTTCCTCTTTCCGAAAAGACATCAAAGGATTCCACGATCGGCGTTTCTGTTCCTCCCGCGCCTATTTTGACCACGCCCAATACCAGATCGGCTTCCAAGTCTAAGAAAGTGACTTTTGCTTCCGAAATGACGGATTCGTCTCCGCTTGGTTTGGTTGAACCGATTAAACAATTTGACAAATGTGTCGGATATGGGGCCATGCCTTCATTAATTGCCACGCCCACTAATGGAGATAAAGGTGGGGTTACTGAATTGAGTAGTGATGACGTTACTAAAAATAGCAACGAAAAGTGTAATGATGTTACTATTAATAGCACTGATCGTGTTACTAAGAATAGTAGCAAAACGGGTAGTAATGCTATTAATAATAGCACTGACATTGTTACTATTAATAGCACTAATGATGTTACTAATAATGGTATTACTATTAATAGCGCTAATGATGATTGCTTTGCTGTTGATGACGACGACGTGATATCGCTAACAGCCGAAGACACTTTTGAACAAATATCACCTCCGCCACTGAAAACTGAAATAAAAGAAAGACCAAAAGGCCGAGTATGGGAGAGACTTGGCCTTGGAAAGAAACCGGAAAGAGATAATGGAGAAAGAAAAGTGGGAGGAGTTTGGGATCGCCTTGAAGTAAAGGTAGAAAATCGAGGAAGAGGAAATGTTACTGACAAGACTAGCACAACTAGTCTTTGGGATCGGCTCGGAGATAAAGGTGGAAATGGTATTGTTGAGGAATTTAAAAAGGAGCAAGTGTCGTCCTGGGTTGCCCAGCAACGTCAGGCCACTCCCCCTTCTTATATAGTACCTCATTGCAGTGTTAATGGCAGTGGGCGTGGTTTTGGTTATGCCCCTCCCCCAAGAGTTATACCTTCTGGAGTAAGTCCTGTAATGTCTAGCAGTCTGGATCCTAATATGGTGAGTAGTTGTACACGTGTAATGTACGTCACAATTGTTGGTTATACCATATAGCGGGAGATTTTGGAGGGAGTAAAAATTGGTGAATTGCTAAATTTCATGATTGTTGGATTTTAATTTGACGAATTAGTGGCCACATGCCATTGAGCATGCGTATAATGGCTCGAAATGGTGGATTTTGTTTTGGTGAATGGCTGTCAAAATGCCAATTCGCCAAATTTAATTCTCTCCAAAATTTCCTGCTATATGGTAATATATGAGTGTACAATTGTTGCATTCATTATAAATCTATTTATTTGTACAGTGCAGTACATGTATGTATGCGTCATAGTGAATCCCTTAATATTTTTATTTTCCTGTAGCTAATATTTTGTTTTTCCTCCTTTAGTGGTGTAAATCAATTAACTCAATTCACTACACTTCATTCTGTAAGTGCTACATGCATACATGTACATGTACATGTATTTAACATATTACTTGCATCTCCCATGTGTCATTAACATAACCATACTTCCTTTATGATACATGTACATGGTCATGTTCACATCTGTCAGCGTGTACATATACATGTACCAGCATATGCCACTGTACAGAAACTTCACGTATATTGCATCAATAGTAATGAGGAGATATTTAATTTATATACCTGCATATATGATATTGTTTTTTTTAATCCCATGATGGCCAGTGGTGGGCGTCTGTTTGAAGAGGTGGATGACATTTCCCTTGGTTATAGGTTTCTACATGAGTTTAATAAAGTTTTTGTCAACATTTTCTGTTTGTTTTTACCATAAGAGTTGCTCCTTTTTACAACTTGAGGTTGTTGTGCTAACTATGTGTGTGTGAGTGTACATGTACATGTACGTGTGATGATATCGTTTTTTGTGTTATTTTTTATTATTAATCATTGCTGGCTTCAGTTTTTATTTTTAATTACTCGATAATCATAAAAACTTTCTGTTTCATTGCACGGTTTCGCACAAAGCCAGCTAAGTAAGCTAGAAAGCGTATGCTTTTAAAGCCTTTCACATTTCATGGCATATTTTTTTGAGAAATTTTAGCAATTCATAAAAAGTCTAGTTTTAATCTGAATCTGCTCAATCTTTTCTACACAACATCGGTACATTTTATTTTTATTTTTAAAAATATTTCCAAGGTCCTCATTTAAATGGGATTGATCGGAATTCAGTTGCCAAGAGACATTCTACTCAGCTGTTGAGGTTATTTCGATCCATCATTGACAGAAATTTCAGTGAGTTGACTGAGTTCCTATACCTCATAATAGGCACATATTATCACATTATTAGCTGCCGCTTTGCAAATTCAATAATTGTTATTGTGAATCATTTTAAGCTAATATGTTATTTATTAATTTTTCTCTAATCCTTTTCTCCTCTCCCTCTCTCTCTCTCTTTCACATTTCCATCCTTTAGCTGTAGCAGGAAAAGCTTATTTGTCACTGAGAGACAATTTCTCTGTTTCGTTCCAGCCCAGCATCCTAAATCCACTACTTAGCATATGTAGTGTTCAAACGGGTGGATCTTTGGTACCAAAACCTTACCTCGTAGCCGAGAAGGTTTTTGATGATTTGAGTATGGGAGGAAAGAGACGTGTTAGTTCAGCTGATCATATCAATATACTTAAAACACAAATTAATTGTCACAGATATTCAAGGTTAGATGCATTGAAGTTTAGAGTAGCTTAATGTACTACGTTTAACTATTATGATATCCTTTCCATGTGTAGGCCTGTACTTTGCCATTCCTAATATTATCATTAACTCTTTGACATTCTCTTTATGTTATTATTGTTTGTTTGTTTGTTTGTTTGTTTACAGTTTTATGCAGTACTACAAGGGCACACTGACTCTCGGTCTTTCGTTTTCTCCGGAGCATATGAAAATGTTGTTAACTGTTCTCAAAGCACTAGGGCCACAGTAAGGCAGGCACTGTTATTAATATACTGTACATGCACCATCATCTTCTGTACATTACATGCAGTATAGCACTTTAAATGTCATGGACAGAAACTTGCTGGAACAAACCTTTTAGAATGATTTTTAACTTTTATAGATGTGAAATTTTAGCATTATGACTTGGAGATGGGGTTATACATGTATGTACTTTGTTGAGTTTTGATATTGTGGTTCTATGCCTACCAGTCAGCTATTTTGAGCTAAACTAATGAAAGTTTTGTTCCTTGCAAAATTTATGATATTGATATAATGTCAGTGCTGTTCTGTATGTATACATATAGTTACACTGACAGTATTACAAGGTTGTTTGCTGATGCTACAAAGTGTTTTCAAGGAAAGGACTTGACAAGGTATATTCCTAGTTCAAAACTTACTGTACATGTAACTTAGGCCATTTTAAGAAATAGGCCAATTTTAAAAAAAGCAACCATAGATTTTTTGAAAAAATGGCTCTGCATGAAATCACCCCAAATTTTTATTACATTTTCTGATACATATTAATGTCCTTATGCTGTGTAGCAAGTTTAAGCCGATTCCGACTTCAAGTTTTCAAGTTACAGCCATTTTAAGAAAATACCAAAATTTTGAAAAATACCCAAGGCTATAGCCCATGGTTTTTTCCAAAAAATGGCTCCGAAATCACCCCAAATTTTTATTAAATTTTCTGATACATATTGATGTCCTTATGCTATGTAGCAAGTTTGAGGTGATTCCGACTTCAATTTTTCAAGTTACGGCCATTTTTAAAAAACGTCAAAATTCTGAAAAATACCCATGGTTTTTCCCAAAAAATGGCTCCGAAATCACCCTTAATTTTTATTACATTTTCTGATGCATATTAATGTTCTTATGCTATACATAAAGTTTGAGCTGTTTCTGACAAATAGTTTTCAAGTTATGAGCAGTTTTTAAAACAAGCCAATTTTAAAAATAACAATTAAGGCTATAGCCTATGAATTTTTCCGAAAATTGCTCTTAAAATTAACTTCGATTTTTTACATTTTATTATTTATTTTGTAGCTATATCGATGATCTTTTGATGTCTCTGGACAGACAGGTCTTAACGATTAATGCCACTCAGCTTCTTGGTTGGTTGAAAGTGAGTGTGACATTAATTAGAAAACATTTTTACCACTTTATTCATCATTCAGTGTAATGCCAAAATGACCTCCGAGCTCTCGTCTAAGACAATCTCATCACTTATTAGGTAAATTAAAATACAATTTATTATTATTTATTATTACAGTATAGCACTTTAATTCGACTTTTTATTTTTGCAGCTTACTAGTAACCTGCAAGCCATTGATCCACATCCATTATGCATACATAAATTGCTGCTAATTAATTTACCATTTTATACCAAAATCACCAAAATGAAGCTCTACCGTAGGGTGCCTTTTTTAGGCCTATAGATTTCGCGGATTTAATTTTTGCGAATTCATGCCGTCTGTTATTTTGTACACTATTGATTTGATTTTTGCAGGAAAAATTTTCGCCTATTTTTTTAAATTGCGAAATCTGCAAAATTTAAGGCCCTTGAAAAAAGGCGCCCTACGGTATTTTTATAATAATTATTTTCATTATATTTTTTATCTTTCAGTGTTTTTATGGAGTGTGGGCAGTCTGTTGGTGCTATGCACTGCCTTGAGACTTCTCGTAAAAGTATCCCTAGTTTAGGGGGCGTGGTTGGACAGCTAGCTGTTACCGTATTGCATAATTGGGCGTCTGTGTCTGCCTCCTCCTCTCCTTTGTTCTCTATTGAAATGAAGAGGCTGTTGGGGATCATAAAGTTGATGTCGCTGGACCAATGCTCATGCTTTTCAATACAAGTAATTAATGTGCTGCACAACTGGGATATTTTATAATGGAAATTGATGTGTTAAGCGTCTAATAAACTTCATGCTTGCCAAGCTTAAATTTTATTTTGTTACAAAAACTACAAGGTATTTATGGGTGTTTCTAATTATAAAAAAATTGCTTAATGTTTATTGAAATGCAGTTTATTAATTCTTTTTTTTCAGGACTGGGAAATGTTGCTATCATATAGTATTCGATTTGATTACATCACAACGTCACAGTGGCTCTTTGAAACTGCTTGCAAGTTGAAGCAGTTTGTCAGCAAGCAGGTAAGATTTTTTAACCATTGATTACAGCAATATTATAACCATATTCAAATAAATTATTGAATACCGTAGGGTACCTTTTTAAGGGCTATAAATTTTATGGATTTTGCGATTTTTTGAAGATTTGTAAAAAAATACTTTCGCGAAAATCAAATTTTACAGTACAAGATGGCAGACGGCATAAATTTGCGAAAATTAAATCTACAAATAGATTATTAGGCAGATTCATGAAATTTACAGCCCTCAAAAAAAGGCACCCTATGGTAACATGTTAATCATCATTATTATAGTGATATTCATTATTTTTTTTAAATTGTACTTTCTGTATTTTTTCTAGACCCAGTTCAACTTGGCCTGTTATTTTCTTAATCAAAGTTGCGTCGAATTGACATCAGACATCATCAAAGTCTTCCTCTCTCCTCTCCCTCCTCTGTCCTATCTCTTTCAACTTTGCGAGAAGCTTAACACTCGTCCTGTTTTCACCGCTGATCTCTATTCAATAATGATAGCATTGCTGCAAGCTAATCAGAAGGCAAGTAAAACAAATTTATGACATCATTTTTTATTTGTGAGCTTGCAAGTTGAAAAAACGAATTCTAAAATTAAACTAAAAACTCGAACGCTAACCAACATTAAGCCCAACATACACTATGCAACTTTTGTTGCAACTTGTTGCATGCAGCACAGTTTATACAGGAATCAATGAAGCTTGCAACATGTTGCATAAATAGAACTGTTTCCTATTTCATGCAGCATGTTGCAGGCTCCATTGACTCCTGTATAAACTGTGTTTCATGAAATAAGTTGCAACAAATGTTGCATAGTGTATGTAGGGCGTTACTGTACAGCAGGAAATTTTGGAGGGGATTAAATTTGGCGAATTTGGCGTTTTGATAGCCATTCACCAAAATTAAAATCCTCCATTTTGAGCCATTATATGCATGCTCAATGGCACATGGCCACAAATTTGCCAAAATTAAAATCCACCAATCACCAAAATTTTGCACTTCGCGAAATTTCCCGCGATACGGCACATGTTGTGTTTTCCCTGGCAAGATTACATGTACATGTTGTATTTGGTATATTTATTGTATTTTTTTATTGTTTTAGCCTCCCTCCAGCTGTTTCCGGTGGCTATTGACGTATCACAATAAATACGATAAATGCTACAATTTATTGGCAAACCTTATCAAACAGGTTTGTAGGATAATGTGCCAATTTTACACTTTTAATATTAATTATTGTAATTAAAAATTTCAAATTGGAGTCTATTTTTTGTATTTCCGATTTCTAATTAATCCTATTTTGTAGGCCTCATCAAGTAAGATACAATTAGAACCATATTTTTATAAAGCAGTTCTGCCTGAGCTGAGAACTTGGGGCAAGGACGGCGAAGCACTTACCTCTGTCTATAGGAGTTTAAGAAACCTTGAGCCTAGTCCGCCAGACAAAGAAAGAACTGTTGATGAGCAGAAGTTTGATGACAATTGTAACCTGGTAAGCCTGTAGATAGTGTTTTGTATATTTCTTGTTTTATATATATTTTCTCTCTGCAGCGAATTTATTGAGACACTTATTGTTTTGTGTGTTTTTCTTGTGTGTATTGTTATGCATTATATATATATATTGAAAACTGTTTTTGTTAAAATATAATTATTTAAGAAGAGAGAGAGAGAGAGAGAGGAATGGGACTTTGTAATACAGAGCTGAGCTACACTGTCCTCAGCCATTTCTCATCTTAATCACCAATCATAATTATGATTTCTGCTTTTTATGATAAGTTAATTTTCATTATCAAAAACCATCCTTTGTTTCAGAACTGCTCAATCTTCTTTTGATCTTTTGCTTTCTCTTCCTCAGCTCTGTATCACATTGTCTTAGACCAGGCTTAAGCCAACCTCTCTCTCTCTTTCTCTCTCTCTTCTGGATGGGATTATCTCTCTTACAAATTATTATTATATCACTTATACTTCATAGATCTCCAGTTCAAGTGGCGTCGGTAGCAGTCCGTCTGTCTCCATAGAAAGCTCTTCTCCTAATTACCCTCCTCCTCCTGTCAATGATGATGATAAATCAAAAGCAACTACAACTAGTGCTATACTGAATGACAAAAGCACTACTCCAGTGAATAATGCTACTCCTACTGTTAAGAATGATGATACTACTCGTAATGCGTCCCTCTGTTTACTAATTAAAGTACAGTCTACTAGAATATGCTTATATTTAAATGATTTATTAATCCTAGGAGAGTGGGTCTCAGGGACAGTTTGGTGCTGTGGCGGCCATTTTGTCTAATCTCCCATTGCATGGAGTCTATACCATTGAAATACTCCAGTCCACGCTAACTGCTGTACAGAATGGGCCCCTCAAACCATTCCAGGCCCTCCAGCAACTTGTAACGGCATTGAAAAAGGTACTTTGTAAATTAAAGCAATTAATGCCTTCCACATCATTGTTGTATGTTGTGGTTTTAAATTATTCCATATACTTTGATACTTCACACAAAAATTTATTGTTTTATCTTTTTTAGGCGAACGATACTGGAGCATTGTCTCCTCATGATTTGTGGGTTGCCGGTCAGATTGGAGTGTACCTCCTCTGCCAGTTATGTCAGTCTGACTCCTGGAAAGAAGCTTTTTATGTACTCCATTCCCTCCACTTGTGTGGCGTTCATTATGTAGGCGTGTCACCACCGCATTTATTGAGTCCAGCCCCTTCGTCTTGCTCTGTGGCTATTAATGCTGTTACTTGTTGTTTAAAGGTTAGTCCTAAGGTCATGTGATGTTCGTGTGATTAGTTTATAATACTGTAGGTCAATAAGCTGTCTGCTGTCATGCAAGTACTCAACGGCTGTCAGTTTATTCATTACGAGAATGAAGAAGAAGAGAAGCAAAGGAATGAGTTACTGTTGGATCTCGCTGATCAGTTTCTCAAAAATGGCGACACAAGCGATTCTTTTACTTGCCTTCTTGAGACTCTACACTCCATAACGGCTGAGGATCATGAGAGACTCGGTAGTCTAACAATAAATGCAATCAGTTCTTGGCTCAAGGAACCAGATAAGACAGAATCAGAGCCAGTCATTAAAGCTATTGGCTTTCTTTTTAAAGCTAAGCAATCACTCCCGTGCGATTTGTTTAGTCGTGTCATTTCTCGCTTGATCTCAAATCAGACTACAGTAGGTGATGACACAAAGGACTTGATATCATCAGCCATCCTTGCTGGCTGGTATCATTCAACTGATTCCAAGCCTCAGTCCATCGTATTGCCCTGTCTATTGACATCACTTGAAATTAATCTAATACTCCATGATCACTTGTCAAAAAACACTCTCACTGCTCTGGACTTTGAAGTTATCTGCCCATCAAGTGAGTGTTTATGCTATATTCCATTCATTCTGAAGGCTAACTTTGATTTATTTTTATTTCAGCATTACGTGCTGCAGTAGAGGACTGTTTGAGCTTAGACTTCAATCCATCACTGTCCATAACTAGCCGTACAGCAAGGCCTCCCACCAGTGTTGCACTGCTAGTATCTTCCTTCTCATTATCCAACTGGTACAAAGTTGAGGTATGCAAGCAAATCTATTTGTGGTACATGTAGATGTACATGTACATGTACTCTACTTACTAATGTGAATTATTTATTTTTATAGGACAAGAATAAGAAGAAATCTTACAAGAAACTGATTTGTGAACAAGTTGCCAATGAATTAAAGCCATATTGTATAGCAAAGAAGTTCAAAAGTGAAGTAAGCACTTGCTATATTTTTCTTTCCATATCACTCTTCTTCCAGGACGATCACATTCACTTGGTGAATGCATTGTGTCAGCATTTCTTTAAATTTGGAAAAGAAAGTAACTGGAGGCTAACCGATTTCATTCTCTCTCGCTTGCGATCAAAAATACAACTTGTATTTTCGTCCATTACTTGCTATGATTCCTCTTCTGTATTGATTAATGATATCTTAGAGGATAAATCTTTCCCATTAAGCAATGGAAGCATGAAATGATATTGATTGATGTAAATTATTTTCTTGTACATACACAGTTTGTTAAGATGTTTTATAATCATTTATTCCTCCACATGATAATTCTATACCCTTTTCCAATTAAAAGTTGAGTTATGCGAATGAGTATGCGGAAGAGTCCTGATTTATACCCACGTGTAATCATGGAGAAGCCTCCAAGACCTTGCTATACTGATTTTAAATTGTTGGCGAGAGGTCCTAGATTGTCTAATCTACTTGAAACTGCTTCTAAACGTGCGTGAGAGTACAATATCGATAGTTTGTATGTATTTTTTATTCCAGTGGGATACGAGAGGGTTGCTGTGGACGTTGAAGTGACCTTTGAGGGCAAGAAGACTGTTATTCCTCGTGTTGAAGAGCTAGACAAAGCATTAAAGGAGTTTGTAACACTACCTGAAGGAGTATGTCCTGAGATATAGTTACATTGTATTGTAGAGTACATTTCTGTTGTAGCTAGAGGTTTTGAGACGCATTACTATCAAAGTTGATAATCCTAATCTTCTTCATGTAATACAGGTCAGTATATGCTAGTATGATGCACCATACCAGCTATTAGTTAAGTCATTTACTTGCACTAACTAATTAACTTTCTTCAAATGGGGTCACAGACCATGGATTTTAGTACATCGTAGTTTCGCCAAAAATGAAAAGGAGAGAATTTTCCATTTAATTAGATTTTTTGATACATATAGATGTTCTTATGTTGTGTAGCAAGTTTGAGCTGATCCCGATCGAAATTGGATTTTTTACGAATTATTTAAAGTTACTAAAAATCAAGCCAAATGGCATTTAAATTGCCAAAAAAGTGACTAAGTTAGAACTTGGAAGAATACATTAAGCGACACATTAAAAATACATTATAATTGCAGGGATCAAATGCTCTGGAAGAGTATGACATAACAGCTTTACATATAACCAGTGAGAAGGCATTTCAAGTCAGTATAAGAATAAGAGATGAGAGAAATTGATGATATTCTCCACTTCAATGTTCATGATCATCATTGTATAGTCAATTGTTTCTACCATCACAACTGACATCATATCCCTGGAGTGGTCAGAGAGATTGGGGTTTCCGCTTAAATACACGCAAGTATCACAAGTAAATGAATGACTAAATGCACAATCATGAATATCAATTAGATATTAAGAAGAGGAACCTGTTTCGAGGTTTGTTATACTCCAGCTATTAAAAGTACTTTTACTTACAAATACAAGCTAAGCTATCATGCATTAATCAGGTTCCTCTCACTGCCGTCAGATAATCTCAAACATTATCCAATTGTCTACATTCAGTAAGGGAAAGGTTAGGAGATAGTTGTAGTGTTCATTTTTTGCTATTTATTAGGGAATCATCATCAGTAGTGGGGCAGAACATGTAAGTTAGCTTAATCCATGTTTCCTTTTTTTATTTTCATACTTAGCCACTTGAATTGAGGGGCCCTTTGGATGTCATCAACTTGTATCCTTTCCATTATTAATTTTTTAAAATTGCTATTGCAAAGATCCTCAGCTTAACTATATTATATTGGCATCATCAGATCCTGTTTGTTTGGCATGAAAGAAGAACACTGTAAAGCTACCATTACTAAGAACTGTGCACAGGTCATCTCACATGCAAGTAAGTCAGAATAAAAATGCTTTTAAAAATTCTTTTGTTGTATAGGACAAAGAACAGACATTGTTAAAGGTGCTGTCCTATGTCAATTCCTTCCATCATCTGCTTCAGATGATTATGTGAAGGAAGAAGGAGCTACATTATCAGAGACTAGGAAAAGGTCTAGATCTCCAGAGCCTGAAACATAATTAAGTTGTGCTTAGTTAGCAGGATAGCTCACTTTAGTGACATTCATTCATTCATGCAGTGCTTTAATAAGATTCATATCTTTATGTGGCATGATTTTGCCCACCATATATGTAAAAATTACTCTACACTAAGCACAAAATTAGTATCCTAAAAGCTGCAATGAGTTCTTGGGCTGTCTTTGTTTGTTTTGCAGTCTTTTTCCTTACTGCAAGTGGCAAGAAGAATGTCCTCTTCTTTGCTGTTGATGACTTGAGGCCAGACCTAGGTGCTTATGGTGTCGATTTTATCAAGAGTCCAAACATTGATGAGCTAGCTTCAAAGTCAATGTTATTTGAAAGAGCTTACTGCCAGATAGCAGTGTGTTCACCATCTCGTGCTTCATTGCTCACAGGACGCAGGCCAGATACCAATCATGTGTGGAAGATATCAGGTGATGAGTACTGGCGTACAGTACCTAATGCCACCAATGCTACTACAATCCCTCAATACTTCAAGGAAAATGGTTATATATCTATTGGTATGGGCAAGATATTTCATCCAGGACCACCAAGCGGTAATGATGATGACAAGTATTCCTGGAGCCCGGAGGGTCTTCCTTACTTTCATGGAAAAGCAGACACTTCTGCTGCAAAAAGAGCATCTTGGTACGACTTCGATGTGCCTGATAACAAGCTGAGGGATGGTCAGATTGCCGATAATGCTGTAAATGTTTTACAGCAAAT